AAAACAGTATTGGAACTGGAATACAGAGGAAACTGTAATATCAAAGGAGACAGATAGACTTTTCAATATAACAAAAAGAGAAATTTTGTGGATGAGTCACAGGGAAGTGATAAGTATGATGTGTATGATCTCACTGCTACTCTCATCTCACTATTGCTGAGCGTAATTATGAGCAGTGCTAGTGTACCATAGATACATATATGCGAACAGGACATAACTTGACTTTGGTTAATGGATTGAAAAATGAAAAAAAGAGAGAGGGAAGGGTGGGAGTGGGAGATAGGCATGAAGCGTAGTTGCATAATGCATAGATAGGTACGAAAGGAAGGAGAGCAAGGATGATGGCTATTAGATATTGTTTGCTTCAACCCGATCGGTACTTTCTCCTACTCCTTTCATTATTCTTTTATTGATGGGTGGTGGATTGATAGATGGCTGGCTGAGTAGATGATGGGTTGTAATCATCCATCCCTTTTTTCATTGCCACGCACATGAATAATCTGATCGAAAGGGGTGGCAGAGGAAGGTTCCATTCTTACTACTACTACTACTGCTACTACTATTACTGATTCATCTCATCTATAAGTAGAGATACACACACACACACACACACACGCACAAACCTTTGCTTGTGTCATTCGACTCCTCACATTAGGCGAGTTGAATGAGGAAGAATATTACATGAGCTTTTGCCACAAGTCGAACTCACGTTGCTGGTAGAAATAGACAGTATCATTCATTATGTACGCAGAGTATATGCAGAAAGAGAGGATTGACAAGTAACTAAGGGTGTTCGTAATGTGTGATTAAATCTGGTTTCTGATTGAAACTGAATTTATCCCCCATTAGTCATTATCAAACTCATTTGTTCAACTAGCATCATATCAAAGTCTCCTATCCTTTCAATTTACATCACTATATCACATCACTCTCTACTCACTACTCATATAAAAATCTAACAGGCACGTACTATTTCAAAAGGTCACCAGCAATTAAATGGAGAAAGACAAGTCATTTAAATTAATCCCATCCAAAATAAACAAGACGATGGCTGTATAATGTATTATGTACGAGAAAATAATCTATAGCAACATAAAAAAATTTAGGAGGAAGCAAATCTAAAACAAAGAGAAACGACCGTACTCCAATCCTTTCAGAATTGATACTTATTGATGACAAGAAAGGAAATGACAGGTAATGTAGCAGGTGGTTCCTTAAGAAATAAGAGGATGACATCGCTCGGATAATAAATAGAGCAGGAAAAACGGAGATGAAGTGCGGATATAACGGTGTATCGCGCCCAAAGCAACAGCACCAGAACTCACACCTTCTCAATAAACCCTATCAAACCACCTGTTACCATTTTTCTGTTGAGTGTATGTATGTATGTATGTTCACCACATCTGTTTCTGAAATAACCAGTCACGAACTGTGTTCTGTTGTAACCCTCGAAGCAACATCACTACATATCCCACTTCGAGATTAAAAATTTAGAAGCCGCGACTTCGTTGTGTGACATTATCCTATTTCAATGCCGCGAACGCTCCAAAAGAAAACCGAAATTAAGCCCTCTTATAACGATGAAGATGAAAGACTGTGTCCAGTTGTCTACTTAAACAATAATTGACATCACTTACTGCACGTAACATCATGACAATCAAGTCTCTGCACCATTCCACTTACTACTTCACAATCATCTAACCAGCTTGCCATACCCACTTGGCTAAGCAATAGGTGAATACTTATTTACACTCAATCTACACTAGGTCGTAGGTCACTTCAAGCCCTCACAAGAATATCAAACTTAATTAGTCAAACATGCCCATTTTCACCACCCCAACTGTTTTCTCATACCGATGATTACCCTAGACTCGCTCAGCATCCGGAGACAATTCATCTTTCCCTAAGCTCAAGTATCATACATTCTGTTCATGTTATTTACACGCAGTTTTTTAGACACATAAACTGAGATAATATTACCTATGGTAGACCCTAGATATTGATGTGAAAATCTGATGCTTTCTCTATTACCTACTTCATTTTATTAACGGTGTATTATGCAAAGACACCAAAAACCCTGCGAACTTTGATCGAACATCTGATCGATGTACTATCATTGTTACCTTGTTATTTTGCGCTTTAACTTGCACCTTACTATAAGCCACTGCGTGTGAGACACATATTCGCAAACTTCGTCTTTGAAATTGTCAAATAATATTCCCAAATCACAGCATCGTAGAGAATTAGGTACAACTCCTCAGCGCTTTTCGATATCACCATACACATATAAATTTTCTCTTTTGCCTAAGTCGTTTTTACTATTTTTGTAGTATTTCCCTGCGGTCCTAAGAAGGAAAAGCTTACTCAAAAGCTCCAAGTGCCTCACATTGAATCATTCAAAAGGCAAATATACTTTTGCAGAAATGGAAAAAGCAAGATTTAATGATGCGCTAGCAGAAACGAAAAATCATTAAAAACATTTTTATCTAGCACACACATAACCATAAACAGGTGCACAAACACACATCCAACATCCTATTTTATATATTTCATTACGTCGCGAGCAATTAGCAAATAGTTTTTTCACTTCCTGGTACTTCTCATTATTGTCCATGCTTGAAAACTCATTTTTTCCTAGCAATACCCCTTAGCAAATTCCGAACTGTTCGCAGTATAAGAGAAAGAATATGGCATAACATTTTTCGTTAACATCCTTGAAAATTTCGAAAAAAAAAGAATGGAAAGGCAGTAGAAAAATATCCACTAATTCGGTTAATATAAAGCAATGCTACGGCTATTTTCCTAATATATTGAAATGATAAAATAGTCCTCCTTCTTCCCTGTTCCATGGTTTCCTTTAGTGCTGCATGATAATTTTCAATTTATAAAGGGTGCTGAACCTGATATGTATGGATTCTTTTTTGCAACAGCTTTCTTTGCTAGACGTCTCACCCAGGTATGTGAGAAAGCGTTCTACTTTTGTACTTGAACTCTTTTTAAACCATCCAGTACTATCAATTTTAAACTAAACACTGTAAACTGGAAACTGCAAATTACGAGACTCATTTGGTATAATTTCTACTTAAGATAAAAAAATCTCCAAAACCCAAGAATTCTGCTATTTGGTGCAAACTGCTACATATACCGACATTTTAGTATTCCAATATAGCTCTGAATCGACCGAATCAAAGATTTTGAATTCGAAATAGTTCACTTTTATGTGGCATGCGGTATCTAAGTCTCTGGATATCCACATTAAAATTTTTCCTACGCTTAATCTAATTCTGAACTTCTATCCACAAAAAATTTTTACTACTCCTCACTCTAAAATTTTACCATTCCTCAGATATTTTCTGAAAGGAATATATTTCTGTCAAATAAATCGGATCATTCTGTACTGACAATGCAGTTCTTTGGTAACCCATTAAAATGAACAAAAATATATGCGCGGGAAAAATTATGAATTAACCTCAGAAGAAATGGAAGTTTCTGTATGTTCGACTTGTTGTACGCTGGATAATTCATCATCCAATAGCTCGTCTTCGGCGAAATCAAGGTCGATTGTATCTAAATGTTAAGTCCATATCAATAAAACAAAGAAATAAATGTCAATTCTAGCTTCATCGTTTCAGAAAATCCTATTAGAAACAGAATTCGTAGAAAGCATCTTGTGTTTTAAAGGAGTAATAAATCAAAAGCTTAACCAAATAACTGCATGGAGAATTAACGGTTACCGTTATCTCAAATGTTGTACTGGGTCTACAAGAAAATTCCTCTCACTGCCCGCTCACAAGGTGGATACCGATAAAGCTCTAATAATTAACAAAATTCCAATTCCAACAGGATGAAAAGGTTCCCAAAGATTACCTTCAATTGAAACCATAATCAAGGGACAAATTCAGCTTCGATATTCGACCGAATCTCAATTCTCTCAATTCAGTGATGTCTTCAAAACCTGTAAATATGAATAAGCTCCAATTTCAACAAAAAATTAAGGTCTATAGGAGAATGAAGCATCCTTGTTTCCAGAGATCTAATGTTCAACATATTCGTTACAAGGTCCAATGAGAATGGCTGCCTTAACTGAAACAGCGGCGCCAGCCTTCACATTATCCTCTCAGGGTTATGGAGCATACTATTCCTTTGTTTTAGACCTTCATGTGCAGAAAGTCAATGATTAAACTGAAAAATCAGTAAACTCTGTCACTGTAACTTTTCCTGGAATCATCTGAATAGTTCAAAACTTCACATATTTTTTTGGATTAGCAACTTCCCGAGCAGAACACTGGTTTATGTAATAGCTGGTTCGAAGGCTATATAAACCAATCGACCGATTCATACACTTTTGTTTTGGTTCCCATTTTGATATCCATGCTTCAAATATAACTTCGGAAGTATTCCGACAATAACTAATATTTGAGTACTAGATATTATTGATAACGGGCACCAAAGCACTCGTTAACTTTATATATATATATACATATATGTATATTATATATGACAAATATTACAAAAAAGCACCACAAAAAAAAAGCATTATTAAAACGAACACGTCATAGATTATAGCTAAATACGGTAAAATGAAGAATTCAATACAATACTACGCAGTTTCAAACAATAGCCTTCTACAGTATTTTTCAAAGCACCGAATTATTCTTATTTCCATTTGCAATTTCTGCTAAACATCTTACAAGGCTTAACTACATTTAGCAGGAGCCCAAGTCTGATTTACTAAACTTCATAGAAGACATGAAAAATCACAGATTCTACAACTTATTAGTTGCAATCTAGGAAATCTGCACATGATCACCGATGCTCCAACACTTATAAATTTGACGCATAACTGACAGTAGTGATGAGAACTACTGCACAAAAAACTATTGTACTTTGCAAGCGAATTTCGAATGGAAGAAATTTGATCAACTAATGATTCACAAAAAACTTGACCTCTAAACTACGACTCATATCACAAAAATTACTTATATTGAAAATAGGAGCGCGTGACTGCATTTGATAAACAAGGATAGGGCAAAGGCTCTAAGCTTCATCTAACAATTTTGTCGTAATATATAGTGATAGTAGAAGTGCAGGAAAAAAATCAGCTGGTAATGGGAAAGTGATAAAAGCCGAAACAAACAAGATCAAAAAAATAAAAGCAAATGACACTTTCCTGAACACAAACCGGCATAGAGTTAAATAGAAATATGGAAAAGTTCATTTCTCGAGATGCTTTAAAAATTTCTCTCTTTTTCTACGAATCTCTTCACTCTGGGGAATCTGAAAATTGTTTTCTTTATTATCCTTAATGGTTGCCGCTGCTTTATCATTTTCAGCTGTACTCGACGTTGCTTCAGACGATTCCGTCCCACATTGCTCTCGAAAACTCTCCAAGCTCATTTGAATAGCTTTTTGAAGCTGCCTTTCCTGTAATTCTTCATCGCTTTCACCCAAACTGTTCTTATTCTGTGTATCTGCCAAATTGTTGCTCACTGCCGCCTGCAGAATAACAATATATTTAGGATTGTGGAATAAAACCAAAAGATCCACTTTATTGAGTAATCAGGATATTATTGCATTTAACATCTCTAAAAAGACTGATCGGGAATTCATGGAAAAAGAATTTTCGAAAACAGAAATTTTCAGAATTTACGATTCAATGCTCGGAGGAAAGAATTAATACTGATAAAAGTGAACTCAAAACACTCTGAATTACCTTCGATACCGAATTTTCTTTTACTGTTTGGCGACTCAGTTCCATTGCAATGCGTAAATCTTCATCATCTCCGGCCTTAGAAAAGAAAGGAACTTGGTAAATGACACTATTAATCAAATAAATAATAAACTTCAAAAGAATTGTGAATCTTCCCCTATATCCTTTTTGCATTATTGAAGAACTGTTTAACTTCCACGAACAATTTTAACTTCGCTTTTACCTTGTCCAACAAAACTTTGACTGTAATTATTTAACAGTAGAAATTTGGAAGGTAACAAATGGACTTCCAAAAATATCAAATATTATTCATTACTATTGTTAAGAAGAAAAAGTGCAGCACAGTGGTAAAAGATGTAACAAAATTTGTAAAAATAAGCCATGAAATCAGTTTTACAACTTAGAAAAACAACTTATAATAACAATGCAAAAAATCAGTACCCCTCATACCTGCTCATTAGATACTATTCCAATCCTTGCAACACCAGGATTTTTTGAGTGGTCATCATGAAATGAATCATTCATGCCTGCTAATGCTGGATCAACAGGAAACTGAGAAAGTTGTTCATCTGCAGTGCATAGTGGTAAGACCCCTTCTACAACGAATATCGAATAACCTAAAAATTTAACAAAATTTATAAAACGATATTCAAATCTTATTCCAAATGAAGTATAACATAAAACGGAGTAAATTTTACTTTAAATGGAATCCGCAAGTAGTGTCAAATCGTAATATTACATAGAACATTCTTCCGGGGAATTAAAAATTAAAACAAGAGAAAGAATGTCTTTCGACCACTACATAAATTAAAAATAATTTCCTTATTTACCATCATTAATTAGTTGAGCAAAGAAAAGACTAAGATAAGTGTCAGAAATAAGTCTTGGTGTTGGAAGCAACGAATTCAACGTGAACCACTGGAAGCCCAAACGACGAACAGCAAACCAGTGCTCATTCAAATTACATATATAAGCTTGTCCTAACCTGCAAAATATTTTGTTAAGACTTTTGATGAACTGATGCAGCAAACAAACAATAGCTAGTAAAACAAACTAAGATATATTCCAGAATGATTAGAAAGAGTCAAGGAGTTACTTTATGGTGAGAAAACAAGAGAAATTAAGCAAGGGTTGAAATGGGTAAAAGAACCTCTTTTTTAACCTTAATTCCAACCCTTGAATTTGCAATGTGCTGGTGAGATATTTATGAAGCCAAAAGACCACCGCACAGAAGAAAACATTCGACTAGCAATTTCTCATTCATTAAATCAACTCACGTTGGGTCATCGCGATATGCCGCAGCACGAGGGTTACTAAGAGGAATAAGTTCCAGGTTGAAAACTTTAAGCGCTTCGGCGATAACCTAAAATTATTATGAAAATCCAATCAAAAAATAATGAATAAAGACATGAAGCAAGCGAGATTCTGTTTCAAGAAGTCCTTGTCATTTCCCAGAATGACACTTTTAGAGTCACTTTACATGTTAAGACTTTCAATGTCTAGCTCATTAAACGCAATACGATGGAATGAATGAACTCCAAAAAAGACCGTATCTTAGCCAAAAGAAAGTATTAGCTACCAAACTATTGTCTCGGTTCAATTCTCCTCTCTACAAGACTAGCCGGGTCGGTTTAAATCCAAAAGAAAGAAAATGTGGGGAACAAAACTAAAGAAGAAAAAAACTTTTGAAAGAAATACAACTTGCTTACTTGTAGCGAGAAAAAACCCGAGTCATCGACATTATGACTCATTACATCCTGCTCATTCAATACCCTTCCTTCACGACTGTCAATGTCCGAAGCGATTTCGGCCAAATCAACAGCTGTGAAATAGGAACCTTGAAGCAACATATTCACGGCATGTTGAGCACATAGCGATGCTTCCTGCTGTAAGAAAATATGAAAACTATCATGCTAAACAAAGTCACATTTAGAATACGTTGCGTTACATTTTGATAAAAGTCTAATTTAGTTATTTTTTCATTCACCATTCTCGCATATCTTTAATGAATAATAACCAAAAATAAAATATTAAATTAAAGATAGATAATTCAAACACTGAATCCATATTTAATCTAATTAATCCAGTTCAACCTGATTAATCAACTGAGGTTTTTTTGTAACTGTAATTTGCAAATTAAACCAAAAGAAATATAAAGACTAAAATGTAACCTTTTCGAAATGAATTGAATCCATTAGAAATAATTCTTGGAGAGCTTAGAAACAGTACGTCCTTTGTTTCTTTGGAAACAGCTAACAGTGCTTCTTCCAACCTTTAAATACTACAACATTTAATCGAAAACAAAAAATATGGAGTTCTGAATCACTGACAGATCCCCAAATTATCCACCAATAAAAAACGCGTGGCGCAATCTGCCGCTTTCCCCTCCCCGTATCCTCATGCAGATCGTGCAGACAGCTTCGAGACACTCTTAATCCCTGTTTCTTTTCATTTTCAACAGTATCAATAAGTTCTTAGGAAACATCGCATCATGAAACCTTACCGACGGTTAAAGACTGGTAGGTGACAAGGACGAGTCGCGGAACGATTTGATTTGGTCGCAAAAAATGTCTCTACCGCTTTGGTACGAATTCAAGCCCAGTTATTGACGGTACTGTTGGGAGTCATGTAAAGTTAAGTTTGGAAGTCGTAATTCGAATTTTTCTTCTCGACCAAGATCAAAGCACTTTTTTAACATCACTCAAATCTACTCGGCCACTTATTTTTTCGTACAACTGATTGAGAAAATACTATATCTTCCTTGACCGCAGAAGATTGTTGAATGACTCAAACCTCGTTATCCTTCTCAATAATCTTTTCCATCACTCTGTTATGATTCATGTTTATTAATTAGCTGACCAATTAGTTTTCGGATTTTGTCAGACTAGTATACTGCTACTTTTCAAATAATTTTACTAAGAAACTATCCACTGTTTCAAGTATGAGAAAATGAGACTTATCCAATTTTCTATAATATCTTAGAAGGTGTCAAAATGTGAGGTAGAAAAAGTTCGAGTTAGAATTAAATTTTCAAGTTCAAATTTAAAATGGTACTCAGCTACCTGTGCTTATGTTGACATTGCTCAAGTGTTCTCGGATTATCTTTTTCAGTCCCCAATTAAAACAAAATTAAAATGAAATAATACGATTAAGTATAAAACCACAAGGATACTTCCGGATAATTACTTACCATCATCCGGATCAGGTTCCTTCTCATTAAATGTTACATTCTATTTATTCACTTCTTAACCAATTCTCGTTCTTTTTCTTGCTGACTGTTTGATACTAAATATTTTACTGCATCAGCATGTAATCAGACTACTATTAAAACAAATTTCATTGTCGTTTATGAATAATTTAACATAGTTTAGTTCAGTCCATTTTTATTCGCAATATGGCTTGAGCCTTAACCCTATGCACAAATCATTGAGCTGTTTATAATCGATCAATAAACGATATCTCTCCTTTTACCAATTTACCATACGTTACTTGGCCTTGTCCTTCTATGACAACACCCACCTTAACTCGAAACGAAACTGAAGTACCGTTTTAAGACACGTCCTTCTCTTTATTTCATCATCTGAATATAACGGTACCCCAGATGACGTTAATTTTTCAAAGAGAGCTTTGTTATTTAATTTAGTGTCTTGCTAGAAATGATTGCGAAATAAATCAAAGGATGAAATGTTAGAATTGATCCATGCGAATATTCAAATTATTAATTACTATTTCTAGCTAAAGTGACAGAAAGTGGTGTGAGCTATAAAAAAATGGCTCGATTAATTTAGCGTTTGCTACTTGTTCTTGAACTTACTACAGTATGCGTGATACTTTATGGGAGTTTAGGTTTTCGCTTTCATATTTCCTTAAAAAGGGAAGCCTCAAGAAATCAAACAATGTCTTTTCAACAGTGGTATATGATGATGTGCTAAACACAGTGGCTATTTATCTAGGATTTTTCCTAAAGCAATTTTTAGATAGCTTTCAGAATCAGGTTTAGCTAAGGTTATCTGATTGACACACAAATGAAAAACGAAAAATAGATTTTCGCTATTGCTTTATCCAGCTAATTTTATAGTATTACAATTTATGGTTTAGAGTTAAATTTGATTTAGAATTGAAATTTGTACGCCTTGAAACTGTTATGCTCGAAAAATCTGCTAAAATTACTGTATAAGATAGTTGTTAGTGATTAAATTTAGACATTTATTGCCATTGATTTCTAAACTGCGACAAAAACCAAAAGAATAAGAGATTTCAATTCAAACAAAAAATTGTTTAAATTTTAATCACTTTATGCAAATTGTATCAAATCACATTTCATGCAGATTAAAATCCGTGAAAAGGCAATATGTAAGGATCATTGAGAAATAGAAGTCATTCATTTATTACCGCTACTATTTGTAACAAAGCTCATAGGAGCAAATTATATGCTTAAAACAAGGTCGAACCGAGAGAGTGGAAAAGAATGCTCAAAATCTGCTAGCCAAAATGTCGCAGAAAAAATGATCAGGTCAGTAATATCCTTTTAACAATAATCTTCAATCTGAAAGGAGGATTAGAATCTGAGAAACTTTGCAAAAGGAATAGCCTTCAGATTAAGAGCATTAAGAAGGGCAACAGCGATGTTTTCCACAGTGTGTTTTCGAATTTGGCTAAAAATAAATTCAGACCAGAAGAGGAAGCAAGAGGAGGCTAATTACCTGAAGTCATTACTTTCTGATGATTCCAAGAATAGAAAGAAACAGAGTATTTAGAGATAGGGTAAAAAGAATGTCATCAAATGGAAGTGGCGTGAAGTGATTTTAATAATTACGAATTTTAATATTTTCTGGCTGCATAAAACCTATTCATTTGAACAATTTTTGACATCATTAAATATGAGATTGTGAACTTCTCCTGAAAAATTCATTTTAAAATGAACAAACTTCGGAAGTGCTGAAAATTTACCTGGAGAGTTGAATACCGCAACATTACTTTCTTTTAATTCCAGCGAATATAAAAGTTGAACAGAAATATTAGGAATGAGTACATTTGCAATTACTTAGCCGAAAAATAACAATATAACAATATATCTGACAAAGTGAGCAACAAATTACCTCCGCTCATCAAGACATTTTACACATTTCTACATTTATTTTTTCAATCAGGTCAAATCTTCTTGTATTACCTGTACTCACCTATCATTAGGCAATCACAAGAATATGAAAGAAGTCAAAGTTCAAAGAGCACTAAGGATGATGCAAACGGTTATGTTCAACTGAAAATGCAAAATATACCGCATAGATGGGAACGATTCGAAAAAATGATTAGAAAAAAGGAAAATGAAGGCCAACATTTGGCAAGACCAATAGCTGCTGAAAAATTTGCAACAGATACTTTGTCGAAGGTTTATTTATTTATTTATTCGGTTATCATTTCGTTTCTGACTACGGTACCAGAAAGGAAGAAGGTTAATTATCTGCAGCTTTTCGATTTCCCCGAGTACTGATTTCTTTTTTTTTTGTAGAAGCCTCAGAACTAAATGTTGTAGGACAAGTACTTTCTTACGATTTATCTTTAATCGAAAGTAATAAACCAACTGACTATCCCGATTCTGAAGAATCCTATTGCTGAATAAAAATATTGACACATGGATACTTAAGAGATGATCTGAAAGATACACTGAAATCCTAACTAGTCTCTCGATTGGAACTCTTGTTAGCCAGCCAATTAGTCAGTTAGTTATTAAAGTTAGAATTGCAGGAAGAGAAGTTGAATGAAATGGAATTTGATGTCACCCAATGGCAGAACACATTATGGATGAAAAGAAAGAAACATTTAAGATTTTCGCCATGTAATCTTCTTTGGAACTTATGATGTCTATTTAATTGGTTAAGCTTTTTAATTAGTAACTGCTGGTTAAAACACTGGCTTTTAAAAATAGAATCCAAATCTTTCTTAGGATTATCCATCTTTTCTTTTAATGGTCCAAACTGCGCCAATCGTTTCAGCATTACAATCAATGCTAAAGACAATGCTGCTCTAACTTAATAACAAGTAATACCCATGTCTTTAATATTTCGTAAACACAAATCCATAATAAATCCTGGTAGAGATATTTAGTGATCTTAGAAGCAAACATGTATAAATATTTGAATTATTACTTTTTTTTTCTAAACAAAATTTTCCATAACTTATCTTTCCACAGAAATTTTCACGACACTTTAAAGATCAAAAAAATAAAGCTAAAGTTTCTAGACATAGTTTTAGCTCTTCTTTTTACCTTGCAGATTTTCTTCTCAAAAAATGAATTGAATGAAAAATTTAACAAAATTAATCAGCTTGAAATCCAATGAGAACTCATAATAGTTTCTTTTATAGTTCGTGAAAATAGTTGTGAAAAGGAGACCGTTGATGGAAGACTGAAAATTGATATGTGTTCGCCATTTCCAAAAGAACTACCAGGCGAAGCACTGGACAAAAAGGTCGAGAAAGGAAATTACTTGGCGAGGCCTGCTGCTGTGTCAATTGGTATCGATAGCCTAGAACTAGTAAGCATCGTTGTCTATGGCTAAAAGGAGTTGTAATGTTGAATTCTAATATTTGAAAGTTAGAAATACTAGATTTTACAATAAAATTTAATTTCTGCTAAAAATTTTTTTTGGAATTCAGCAGTTTATATTTCTTGCTTTTTTCGAATATAACCTTTGAGGTGTCGAATTAAGCAACAATAAATTAATCCTACACGACGGCTTATTCTACAGACGAAGAAACGGAATATGCGCAATAAGACAAAGTTCATAACTGCACCACTTTTACAAATACATCATTTTCAGGCTGGCGCATTAACGGCGATTATAATACTGCTATTTACAATCAATTCAAAAAATTGGAGTACACTTTATCCTTTGTGTAATACGACTTTTACCGCTTCTATCGTTATTTGGCTGACCATTACTCATTTCTTCCATTTATATCTTGAGAAGCATAGAAATAATCAAGGAGTAATGGAATATTACATTCCCAACTCTAAGAAATACGTGGTACGACATTTTTCATCAGCTTATAATTACATTACAGATAAATGACAAATGCGCTTTTCTGCAGAAAATTTTTTTTCAAAACATTTTTCGATTCTCAAATTTAGTTCGCTGGTCACAAAATTCGACTAAAATAGCTGGTCTAATAGTGGGCTGAAATGAATAACACCACGATATGACATATTTTCGGAATGAACTTACAAGTGAAGCTCATCTCCTCTTTTTCTTCAATTATCCTTCCTTTTTCACGAAGTTACAGTTCCTCCATGAGCATATTATTCGGTGTGTACTTGTGGTAACATCAATTGCTCAATCGATATATTTCTCGATGATATCAAATCATCATGTGCTCTTCCATTTGATTACATTGATGTTAATCATTCATTTTTCCTGTGCATTTATTCATTTATATTTTGCTACAAAGAATCGTTTTGTATTGTCGTTCATTTCCAATAGAAAGACCTGAAGATTATTGCCATTCAATAAATGATTTTAACGAGTTAATTTAACAACCAACAATGGCAGATAAACACTTCATTCCATTCATTGAATTTTCCCACTCTCGAGAAAGGTCATGATCTTTAGGGTCCGAGATAAACTTAGAATTGTTAAACGCAATCATGGACATTTTAAATTGACGCCACTTAATTCATGGCATAATTTTCCATGTCGTGTTAACATCGACATTTAGGATATCACAATGAACAAGTGGATAATCGCAGAGTAATCTGTTTCATTGCTGTTGAACTTTTGACCGACCTTTTGTCTCTTTATCAGTTTTATCAATGAGACAAGTCCTTTTGGAATATTGATATAAAGCATTTATAATGAAAACTGAAGACAAAAGACAAGAGAAATTTCAAAACCTTCCAACCACTTCTTTTGACCTCTCTGTTGTTTTCTATCTTTAAAGATCAATATTCGAGAAAAATCCAACAAAAAGTGATACTCACATTACTTACTAATTTAGAATTCTTTAATCGCCAAATTACTCAGTGTGATGACCCGATAATTAAAAACTTTGAATTTATAGGAAAAAATTTTATTTGTTGGAGTATAAGCTGGAAAAAAAAACTTCAAATGTCATGTCACGGAACAGGTGGATATTCATAATATGAGTCATGATTATCTCTAAAAGTGGGTGAAATCATGTTTTGATTTTGGTCAATAGTAATTCATAAGATTTAATACCTAAAATAGTAATACAATTAGCTTATTAGAACCTTTTTTTACAACTCTTTATTTTAGCATTTTCAGGTTAAGTATTTTTAACGTGTCAAATTTTTCTCAAAAGCTAGCCAACTATCCTCACCAACTGCCCTCACCTTCTTCAAAAAGATATTTTCACTATTTATTCATTTATTAGCAGTCAAAAGTTAACTTGAAACAGTTTTATTCCTTAGAGAGATCTTGTAACCAAATTTTTTTCACTTTGTAATGCGGCTTCCATCCTTTCATTACAATCTGAAATACGGTTCAAAAATTACCAAAACATATTCAAGCATTCTTGACCAGCTAGAAAACAAGTTAAGCCCTACCTGAATTATCCTAACAGCTATTTACCCACATAAATTCATTTATGCTCATCAGATCGTTTGAAACTTTATTCGGGCAAAATGTTAAATATATTTATAAATATGCCAAATGAGCAATATTTGTTAGATTAATTGCAGAAATTTTTGGTAATACAAAAGGAAGTTTTACTTTTCGATAACCCATTGGATCTACCATCGATGAATGTGACAGTTTCGGCACAGGACTGGTAATAAACTGTTGGTCTACAATCTGTTGTTTTTTATTTTTCCGACCTTTTTTACGTTTTCCGGTTTCATCATTTTCGTTCCATCTTTTGTCGCTCATTTCATTTTCCTCCATCACTGTCTTTTTATTATCATATACTGCAAATAATTTTTTTTAATCATATTATTGTATAATATGATCATAATCTAAGGCTCGAAGAGTGATATTACTCTACAATGCATGATGTTCTTCAGTGAAATCTACTAATACATTTTGCCCAGCAGTGTCTTCATGTGACATTTCAACTTCTAATATTCATATCATCACTGATCATTTTATCAACTCTTTAACCTCTCATTTGATCTTATAGTACTATAAAGATTATTGATATTCCTAAAAATTCCGATTATTGGCGTATTGTACCTAATGGGGAGTATTTTGAGAAACTGTTTATAAACAATGTGATCCGATCATGAAATTGTCACGTTAATTGGTCGATGTAAATAAACAAAAATCATTAATCAGAAACTGACAGAAAGCTATATGATAAAGGTTAATACTGGAACAAGTTATAACTTATACTGACAAAACAAAGGTTATATTTTGATTGTACCTGGTGAAGGAGGTTTCGCGGCAAGTTCACGTTCCAAGGTGCTCACAGTTTTCACTTTCTTTTTTGTTTTCTTCTGCGTTTTATTTCTGGGCCTCAATGCAATATTCGTACTTTAAAAATTCATTAAAAATAAACTATCTTAAAGATAGGTAAAAAATTGCAATTTGAAATAAACTTCTGAATATTTCGAATAATTTGATTTTTAAATGCAATTTGTGAATCTTCATCTTTTTTCTCTGGTAATTTCATGTTGCCTTCAACTTTTACTACTTTTAAGCCATTTTAATTCCATATTATTATTTCATAAGAATGAATATACTTCTCACTCAGTTCTATTTAATGATATACTCATTTCATTTTAGTTCATTTGAACTAAATGTTATATAATTCATTTCCGATATCAACTGATAAGATAAGGTATTCGGATTATCGATTATCCGTGAACACTGACAATGAACGAATGTATCAGAAGCTGATCGTCCGGCATTATGAGTATTGCTGCTTCCACTAGATGTCCTTTGCTCATCAACTTGAAAACTGCTGGAACTTTCACTTGGTTTCTCACGATGTGGTTTTAATTCTGACTCAGGCTTTCTTTCTTCTCTGTGTGATTTTGTCTTCTGGAGCTTCTCTGATACTTTCTCCTTCAATTGCTAATAAAAATGCTTCTAGTATAAGTATTATCACCGAAGATTGACAGTAATGACAACAAGTTCCTATTTCTATTACCAATTATAATTCATAAATGATAGCTTCGTTTTTAATCTTATTAATTCATAATGATATCACTGCAAACAAAAGATTTCTTACCCAATAACTTATTTCTTACTAGTGATCGTTGAAATTCTTAGGTCGCTTAAAATATATGAATATTCCATTCTTATTAAGATTTATTAAATGAATCAATAGGCAATCAGAAACGGCTATTTACCTTTTTTAAGTATTCGTAGAGAGTTAAAAGTTCCAGAAAAGTTAAGGTGAGGTAGATGAAAGACATCGCGCATTGACAAATCTTGTTCAGGCCTGTCGTACCAATAAGATTTTCCTTAGGTTAGGTTGCAAAACACCGCCCAAATCAAAAAATAAAACGGTTATGTATGGGACTTTAATTCACCAATTCAACACTACTTTCCGCAGTCGAATCATCCTCTTTGCTGATGGATTTGGATTCATCTTCAGCATTCAAAGGATCAGCATAAGATACTGAGGTTGACAGATTTTGGTTTAATAATAAATCTTTATCAGCCACTCTAAAATTAACACAGCTTCATTTGTGTCATTAAGGTTAGAAGGACGTTTAGGAAGATTTTAAAAAGAGTGCTTTCCATTTATCTCGTCTTCTTCTGCTTTTGTGGTTAAATCAGAATAAAGAAAAGGACCTGGATTAAAACAAAACAGAATTCAGCGGATAAGCAAACGTCAGAACCTTCCATACTCATGAACTTTAGGCTTCTGAATTCGCAATACCCGCTGATGCGGTTGTTGAAATTGTTCTGGAGAAACAGTCTTGACTGAAGCTGAACGATGTGTGCCGAATTTTTTCATTTGTTGTTGGTGCGAATTACCGTAGCTGGTTAATTGTTGGCGGTGATTTTGTCGCTGTCGACGCAAATCAGGTTGGCGGTAGTATATATCATTAGGAAAAATCGATTGTTGTTGTTGATATTCTTCGCTAGAATAAGATTATTGTTGAATCGGTGTAGGAGATTTTGTGTATTCTTTTCCTCCCCTCTCTTACACCTCTCAATTCACATGATCGTCGAAACTGATTGATCAAACCTAGGATGACGTCCATCCAATTGTTGATAGCGGGATACTGCCATCCCTTGATCTGATTCCACATGCCGTTGTTGCAGATCCATCACTTTATGTTGCTGCTGTTGATAAGCGTGATTGGGGAAGTAGTCGTACTCACGCATAAGCATTATTGATTTTTGGTCGAGAGACGTGAAAACTCGATCATCGAGTCGTAAATTCCGCTCTTCATCGTCCACGGGAAAACTCAACAAGTCGATAATCTGCCATGATGCACTGCTTGTCTTTCCCGGGTACTGTGTCGTCCCAGCTGGCAACGTATTATCTAACTGGAACTTAATGCAATCATTCCCATTTTTATTACATCAGTCACAGATACCGTGCTTTGATAAAGAGTTTACCGAATGTTCACAAATGAACCCAATGCTGCTTCTACTCCCGAATTTACTTTATAACATTTCAAGACAATTTTAAAAATATTATGTTCTATCATCTTTGATATTTTTCATAAAGTGTCTGATCTCTTACGATTCGTTCAGCATTGTATCCGACTGAGCTTCCTACATGCACCGTAGAAGATTTATTTTTTCTTGTATTTATTTCATTTAGCCTTACTGAAAACATATATTGGAAGCATAGTTTAATTTGGATGAAATTTAAATTCATACCAAATTTATCTCTAAGTTGAGTAAAAATATCATTTCTTCCCAGTTTTTAAAGGAAAAAGTCAGATCTGCGAATGTTAGCTATCACAAATTGCTTAGAATCTCCGATTAGCTTTCTTTCTCACTCTGATTAATGGGTTGTTATATTTTTTGCTGAATTTCAAACTGAACGCTTTCAGTGATTCTATGCAAAGGAGCAAATCTGGGTATGTGCAAGTTTTGTGAAATTAGAATTTCATTTAGGTGGAAGATTATGAAGATTCGAAAAGAACCTGTTTTGTTTTTGACATTTATTGTCGTATCATCACGTCGCGTCTTTAGTTTCATTAATATTTGTTCAGTTTGCTTTAGCGCATCTTCAATGATTCGACCGATATACCGATAAACATCCGATGTGCACTTTGGTGCTGGTAATTCACTCATCTGGAAGAAACTTCTGACTTTTCGGGTGTACTTCGACGTGGGTAAACTTTTCGTCTAAAACTTCCTTCAGAGAAAGAAAAGGTTTTATTAAATAAAGCCACATGCTACTTTTGTATGATGCAATCCAGACAGTGCGATCCAGGTTTTATCATTGATTATAAAAGATGTAGAAAGCATGGAAGTAAAAAGCTCGGCATCACAAGTTGAGTCATTTTCACTCATCGAAAGATACAATTTTTATGAAGAATTTACCCTTCATATAATATGGAATAAATTTCGATAAGTATCACTCAACAATTAAACTTGATAAAAGAATGAGACCGTCATTATAAATGAAGCTTTTAAGCTACAAAATTTTATTTTCAATTTCGAATATGCAAAATTTGCATTAAGATTTTTGAAATTCGTCGGAATTTCACTATGACAATTACACTGACGACGTGTGGTCTGTTGGAAGTGGGCAAAAGTAATTAAACTAGAAACTGATTCCGGATGAGTGCATGACTCACCGAGCTGACAACGAATTAGTGCAGTTTAGATGTCTAAATCCTTTTTTATTTGTAAAATGCAGTTTGAAGATTTCTTCATAGTTGGATCTTAAACAATCAGTTCAATTTGTAAAAATGTAGCATTCATACGATGTAAAAGTTGGGAAATCTTGGATATTTCAGAAATCCAACTCATCTTTTTGTCTAAATTCCAAAATTTAGATGCCGGGTTTTGATTTCTAGGACTTTTGGATGTGTTAAAGGTTTTTCGGAGTTACAAGCTAGATCATAAAGTAGTTTGGAAGTATGTGAGGTATAAATAAGAATGATTCATGACCGTGAGAAACTAAAATTTCATAAATATTAACCAAGGAAAGGAATATTCAAAACACAGAAGACGGGCAGCATAACATGGAAGTAGAAACACGAACTGCAAAAAATCAAAAACACAAAGGTAAACTTCATATCTTTGCTTGGTTACGTTAAACATTATTATGACAAAGAACTAATTAGTTAATAAGAAGAACTAATTAGTTCAGGACATTGCTTATAATTAATAACAAGAACTAATTAATTCAGAGCATTAATTACAAGCCTGTTAACTTCAAAACATGGGTCACTGCTGAGAACGAAATTTTTCGTCTGTTGTTTATATCTTGGACGAATTTTTGGTTTATCTGATACATGCTTTAGAGTTGGACCACAGTTTGGCCGTTATTTTTCCATAGAGCAAAAGTTCCTTTGAGCAATACACGTGACTAGTAACGTGACTGGTCAAGTGGAAGATCACAATTTCTTTTAAAAAGCATCGCGCCATTTAATATTGTGCTAATTTATACAATTAATCAACCACTTTCTATGGGGTATTGCTTCCAGAAGTGAGTACATCAACTGCTTCAAAGTATGCAAATTACAGACAAATAATTTCTACACGATTCCAGAGATCTCGACCAAAGTTTGTTTTATACTTTCTCATGGTTAAAGTTTTTCCTGCACATGGACTGGTTTTTTTCGCGATTATAAGGAAATACGAACAACAGTTCAATAAATATTTCAATAAGAAATCGTCTTGTTAATCTACAATCTTTAAGTTAACTTTAAAAATATTTATTACAAGTTAAACTAATTACATGACATTATTTTTCAGCTTAAATCCTTAACTGTATGCAATGTTTGTAAATTTATTGCTATTTCAGTGTAGTTTCTGTGGTTCCATTATCGGTTCATATTGCTGATATAAAGGCAAGTTTATCTCGTAAATTATAAAAAAATCAATAAATATGGAGGACAAACTTTTGCATTTCTTTTTATAGTAATGTCATCTCAAATGCAAAGGAATTCTCGTTGAGTATTCGATATTTTCCCCTAAAACAATGATTTAAATAAAGATTGAGTCCAATTTGTCTTACTTTTTATTTTACTTTAATAATTGAAAGTTTTGGATCTACTCGTTTAAGTTTTGCTTTTAAGGTGCACCGATCATATCCGCTCACCTTACTTGGAATAACTAGTGCCGAAACGTTGGATATAATATTTCCTAATTGGTTCAATCGAGCATTTGTTAGAAGTAGAAATAATGTTACTTATCGACCATATAATCTGAATATGCCATCATCTTTGCTAAGGTTAATTTACTACAACTATTAAAAAGAAGTTACAAATACTGCGGAACACAGATCTAGAAAGTGCTGAATAAGCCGAAGGAACGTCGCATATTGTTGATGGATAAAAGTCAGATGATCCAAGGAGTTAATCAGAAAGTATAAAAAGGAACGATTATAATCACAACCAGAAGATCCACTTTATTGAGTGATCAGGATATTGTTGCGTTTAGCATCTTCACGATACTTCATTGGATTATTATTAATTATAATTTACAAATCAACTTGATTTGGATGAAGAAAGTTCTCTCATTTAAACACAGTTGTAGACGACCAATGACACATTATCAGGCGGATTCACCGATCACTGAGCATGGAAAAATTTGTGCTGCATTAATTGGGCGAGGTATCCTACTAGCCAATTACCAGCCTAAAATTGTAAGTCTACCACCAGTTTATATTTACTTTAATTTGCGAGTTAATATGATGCATAAAGAGTTACAACTTTTTGAAACTGATTAGGAACGCGAAAAGGCAATTGAGGGATTTGAAAAACAATATTATACAGATTTTCACATCCCCCGAGCTGAGATGTATTGAAACAGCTCGTTCAATCCAACGTTCGCTGCACATTGGTAATTGGAGCTTGTGTGTGGAACCGTCATTAGCTGAATATGCAGGATTTCGGGATGATGCACAAAAATACTGGCTTACGATTGCACGGGTATACTTAGTTCTCGTAAATCATTTTTTTTTTTGATTACAAATGATTCCCTCAAAAATCTGGCAAGCAAACCTATTTTGACCTTCTCTCCTGGTAAATCCATGCAACATTACAATATCTACTTTGATAATAGAAACTGAACTGATCAATTCACCATCAAAATACATAGTTTATAACTAATGGGTACATTTATGTAATTCCCGCAGCGGCGTAGAAATGCTAGCGGATCGATGTCGAATGATCCTGTAGTCTTGAAGTATTTCCAACATATATAAACAAATGGAGAAAACAGTTGATCATTTCTTCATTTTTTATTTCTTCAATTCCCATATATTTGCTTATTTTCTTTTTGATTGAATGCGACGAATTCAGGTCAAATAAATTATAATTCTTGACTTTTTATGATTGGGGTCGTCATGAATGGAAGGACAAAAGTCACTATCAAAGTACCGCACATATACAGTCTATTTCTGTCTAATAGCAAGCAAATATACTTTTGGCTTCTATTCTTAGTTGCAAAATGAAGGCATTCTCTCAACCAGTAAAACCTATGCGCCGTTATTAAAACCTGAACAACTTCCCAGAAATGAGACACCGCAGGAGTTCGTACACAGGCTGCAACGATTTTACGAGCGTATCATCGTGGATTTTGAGGACAGGTGATCATCATATTATTTATTTGTTCATTTTTGACGGGTTTGAACTTAGTTAAGAGGACAAGAAATGCCATATATTCCTCGATGTAATGCTAAGTACCGTTAGAGAGAAGCAATCTTGATTCTTTTCCGCGACCTATAATTTATCAGGTTACGAACTTAGCCAGACAGGTAGATATGAAAATAAAATAAAATTTCAACCTATGAGTAGCAAATCTTCCATTTCTCATTAAATCACATTATACAAACCGCCCCATTCCCATAAATTCCATTCCATTCGTTCTGTGACATTGACCTCAATCTCACAGCTAATTTTCGACTGATAAATTCAGAGTTTCTGCGAGAATCCCTGTAAATTAGAGAAAGTTTATGAAATATTGTTTTTCCTTGGATCTCAATGAGACACGTTGAGACAGTAAGCGACTGAACTTATCATCTAGAAGGCTAAAGATGGAAGATTGTTTTGGAAGTACGGCACATGGACTGAAATCCATATTACCAAGTTAAGGAAAAAGCGACGGGTCTCTCATCGTGCTCCGAAAAAGGAATCAGTTAATTGTGTCAGTGTCGTTTATCAAATAGTTTCAAATAGTGCTCAGTATGATAAATGTAATCGCTGCTTAGTTTATGTGAAATCATTCTCTTCGTAAAATTGAAGTAAGAATGTTTTAAAATTAGTATGCCTGCTATATGCACAAACTGGTCCTTTCACGTTTATGGCTCGAATCAAACTTCGTCATCAGTTTGGCTTGAATCTGAGATATCCAGAATTTCAATCACCAATAATTCTGATTAATAATAACATTTATAGCCAGTGGAATTTAATTCAACTTATTTAATTTGACCAGTAATAGCTTCATAACAATAATCGATTTCATAAGTTCCACCTTTTTTGCTAATGTGTTGAGTAATTATAGTGTCCAGGACTAGTCATTGTTTCAGATGTGTCGTGATTGTCAGTAATATTACTGGAATTTTTGTACTGAATGATGGGATGGCTACAACTCCGTGGCATCTACAGAAGCCTCACGCTTATATGGGTAGCTGTCATCTATGTGCTATCGAAGTCACACCTGATGGGAAAGTCTGAATGCACCGTTTTCTTGGTTTCTAGAATTGCTGAAAACTAGATTTTGAATTTAATTTCCGAAAATAATCTGCGAAGTTAAAAGAAAAAACAGATCAAGTTTTAAAAGTTTGGATTAAATCCAACCATTGTCTTTCATTCAACCTACTATTCAACCGAAAAAATGACAAATTTTCTCATTTATAATTAATTTCTCATCCTTTGAAGTACTGTCCTAACTTAATTTCAATTGTTGAAATTTCAGATGGAATCCGTCAGTAGTCCTATTCTGCCATTAACGCGAACATTATTTGATGCTAGAAACACTTAAAATTCGAAGTTAAGTAAATACTAAAGCTTATTTGTTTAGCTTTATGTTTTGATTAGTAACAAAAATTTTGCGCATTATCATGGAAAGAAAAGTCGAGCTTTGTAATTACAGCAGCCATTTGTATTTGTGAATAGAAAATCGTAAAGAAGAAAAATGTTTTAAATGTATCACGTGTCACATGACAAATAAGCAACGATGGATTCAAATGATGGTCAATGAATCTCCTGATCCTAATTCATATAATTTTCCGGCAAATAGAGAGCATGGAATCTTATTTCCGATATCTCATAACTTAGTTTTTGCTTCATATCTTCAATCGGTAATTCATTTTGAGAAAAATTCCGTTTGTTTATAGAGAAATTTCTTTCCAAAATAAAAGTAAGGTTGCAGCAATTTTTAAAACGCATTCAAGGATTTTAATTTCCTAAAAAAAACTGTGAAATGAGCTTGTAACTGACGAGCTAGATGAGCTTATTGCTTATAACTGATTACTGATATAGCAAATTATTTTATTGCCATCTATTGTATTTCTTTCATGTCATGACAGTTACATTCACAGATAATTAGTGGTTAGATTTCATTTTACTATAATCAATTTTCCATCAATGTGCTGTTTATTGCTTTTGATTGCAACAAGATTTCATTTGCCCTTTCAAAATTTAAAACTTAAAGATTCCGTTCTATCCTTTGACCTTAGTTGATGCACTTAAAACTCTCATGTCGAACATGAGAATTGCTGCATACCTCAAATCCTGCAAGAATTCTTTAGAATGTCAATTTAAAGTCTACTTAAATCTCAAAAGAGTTTGGGAAATTTTGGAATTTTTTGGAAGTTGAAAGATTAAAACGAACTTCTTTCACTAAGTGGTGTTATGCAATAAATTTCCAATGAGATCAAAAATCTTTATCTATCTTTCCAAAACAGTTTAGCAAAATTCTTCCTCCGACATCACTTTAAATCTGAATTCCATTTCTAGAGAGAATCTATTCAATATCGAATATGGTTAACCAATTAACATGTTAATTTCATCTAATTATTAAAATTTTAAAATGGAATTTGTCACTGCTGAATGAAAGATCAATTTTTTTTCCTCTTGTGCTAAGCTATGATGCCATCAAGCATTATAATGAGAAAAAACCTTATTTTATTTTTAAATTAAAGGGAGTAGGTAATGTCGAAACAAGAGACAATGAATTGGATGAAACAGTTCGGTATTCGGTTTTCTCGTCGTTTTATTAACTCTTTTGTAAACTTTTCCAGATTTAATATCTTTATTGTTATATTTTATCAAGACAGGTGCTCTAAATGGTTTATTAACTAAGGTTACTAAGGTAATTTCCCTTATTCTGGTTTGTTTTATGGGCAATGTTCTGAAATTTCCGGTATTAATCACAGGTTTATATCCATAAGCTTAATTTAAAGCAATAAATCTGTGAATAAAGAATCTAAGAAAGAGACTTTGGTAAGATATTTGAAGTAATCAATGAAAAGGTTGGAACAAAATCGAATAAGCGAACAAAATTGCCTGAAGGCTCCTTTCCGTTTACTGCGAAAAACACAGATTCAGTCTTTCATGTCATTTTTCATCGGTGCGAACAACAGCCGTCGCATATGTCGACAAGATTTTCTTTTCAAAAAATTTCCAGTTTCCGTTTTTTATTTTCAACATTGCCAAACTGCTGCTATAAATCCTGACCTGTCCTAAAATGTCGTCTAAGTCTATGGTGGTGATGTCGAGAGAAGGAATCTTATCATTGAATCATCGTATTTTTTCAGTGATGGAAGTACTGTTAGTGATATTACGATGAGATTCGAGCAGTAAAAGGTACCAAACTTTTTGGCGCATTAATTTTTCACTACTTTTCCGAACTGCTTCAATCAAATTAAAATCTGACAGAATCCTTATCGTGTTGAGAGTTAAGATGATTAACAAAACAGATTTCAGAAGTTTTAATTAAATCAAGATTTACCAGACAAGATGAAAAAGAACAAATCACCAAAAATAGGCTTATTAAACTTGTTGGTGTGGCTGTCCTCATTTTTTCAAAGCTGATGCTTAATCTTGTCCAAAACACAGCTGTATTAGCAGTAGCAGATAGGATAAGTCGAGTAACCGGTAGTTAGAAGCAACTGGTCTTCTGTTCTTTAATTTATCCATACTCTTTAATTAATCAGTAAACATGACCGATGGCATTAATAGTTAATTTCTTGTTGCCAAGATCTATGAGAACTGATAAACGATTCAGCAAGAAATGGTTACCTGAAGAAATTAAATCATTTCAAGCTGTAACAAACTGATATCTGATAAGTTTTAAACTTTAAGCTTGGTAGCCACGTGTGGGTTTTAGTTTTTATATCTACCTAAATCTAAATTTTAGTTCCTTTTACGATTAAAGTAACCACTTAAAACATTTTGGAAATCATATTCCAAGTTCTATTACAGTTCTCGTTGAAAACTGTTTCGACCATTGTCGTCCTCCTTATGATTATTTCTCACTGAAGTTCTCACCGGTGGTACATATATGAATGGGTTTAGAAGATACCACGAAGGTTTCACTTTTTATCATGAAATGAACATGAAATATTCTGCTAGTGAAACAATATGGGAAATACTCTTGCAATCATTCGTTTGCTCAATGGAAATATTGGCATTATGCTTTGGCAGTTGAAAGATTTCAGTTTTATAAGCTTTTTATGAGCGGCCCATATCGGGCAACAGTCATCTGATTTACATTTTGAAAAGACTATGAGGGAGATTATAGATTTGGAAACGATGGACATAAGTAATTTATCATTTAATGGTGTCCCCTTTTTCTTTATCCTTCCCTTTCTGTCATCTATCCTTAGATCGAATGAGATAGATACATGAAATGTTTATCACATTTTGTTACTACTTGTTGATCCAAAGAAGTCATATATCGTCTTCACCAAACATCAATTTTAGTTTAATGTCTAGCTCAAAATCATTTCGAAATCATTTTAAAACCTAACTATCCTAAATTTAATTTCTGTTTACATTCAGAGACTTTTCTTCTGTACCTTGAATTCATCTCTCATCACAAACTACGCTGGGAAAACACTTTTGATCCGAATCAAAGTAAAATGCTTCAGAAATTGGGAAAATTCGAATTACCCAAATAGGACATTACGGTTTTTTGAATCACAAACTGTTGAAAGAAGAAGATAAATTAACTGGAATGCATGTAAATACAAAGAAAGAGAAGGAGAGTTGACATGAAATGAAATTAAGTTAATTAAACCAATTTAAAATTACCATCACTTCTTTCCTAGTGTGTTATACACTTATATAAATTTACAAATTCTCCCAAAATTTCCGGCAAAATACATTTGCTTAATGAATCGAACCAAAAGTGAATATGCATAAATATGCGTTTCATATTTGATGAATCATAATTGGAAATCGAAATTTTTGAAAGATTTAATGAGTTGAGGATATTTTCAGCGTAGTCACCCTTTTATTCTCCTTTAAATATGCTGAAATTGAAATAGTGCCAAATATCGTGACAACCAGCCAAGCTATGATCACAACATTGACATTAGACGGCAATTATTCATCTTGATGATCCAAGTAAATTGATCTTTGTTGTGCAAATGATTCTCGTCTATTTAAATAAAGTAATATCTGCTATGCAAAAATGATATGAAGAAATAGTAAGATGCAATCTACTTCGATGTCACTTCCTCGGGACATCTTATTCATTGCTTACTTCCTAATTTCTCATTATGTAAATCTTGTCAAAATTTCATCATACTTTGTTTCTTCAATTGTATTTTCAATTAAACGGAGAAAAATGTTTGTGCATTGCTAAAACTCGATCACATCATACTATTATCACCCTTCAGTGTTTTGATTCTTATGATATTCGAATATATGTCATAGAACCCTTTGACAGTACTCCGGTCAGTTTTGACTTAGCGAAAAAGTTGTTCTAAGAGTTAGTTCAGAATTTATATTTCATAGAATAGAACAAATTAATTACGTGAAGATAAATAATACTTAATGACTTAAGGTATTTAAGGCTGAGCCAGGGCAATTTATTTTTAATTGAAAATGACGGATAAGTTCAAAACTTCACAGGAATTCACAATGTCAGCTTTCCAAAAGCAAAAGTTTATGATGTTGATGAAGCTTTGATTAATAACGATTGCAACACTTCATTCGATAACTGCTAACATTCTACGTGACTTAACTACTCATCGAACTACATGAAGTATCATAGGAAAACTGTTGTAAAGGTTTTTCGGAAATTTTTAAAAAACTTCTTGAGACATTAAAACTTCCGGCAGTGGAAAGAAAATCAACGGAAATTGGAAGGGCATATAATATGTTTTGACAATCACTGTTAAGATATCGATCGTTTTTCCGTAAAATTTAAAATCCATACTTTTTAAATCTGAATTCTGTTCTCTAAAACCTGATTTTTTTCTCAAAATTTGAGGAAGTTGAAAGAGATATTCACTGATTGAAATGCAAAGAGACAAATCACGAAGAGTATCCTTGCATAATTACCACATGATTATATCATCCGGATCTCTTCTTCCCGCATTTAATCGTCTACTGTCTTTCGAAGAAATAAATGTTTCCTTTAATCCCCGTTTGGTATAGGAGAATGAAATATTAATCATGTTGAATAGAGTAATCCCCGATTTGACTAAACAGCAAACTTCTACTTCATCAATCTTAGCCTCATTTTAGCGAGTATATATTAGAAATAAATCTTCTACAGTTGCAAAACTAGTCCCATATGGCAATAATTATGCTCCGAAATATTTCACATTCAATTTCACTTTACTGATTTACTTAAATTTTTATAAGTGATGAAATTAATCATTGAGATGAATGACAAAAGTGTATTTCGAGTAAACGATTAAAGGGGAAGAGCAGAACAGGAGATGAAATCAATTCTGGTGTGATTCATTTACGCATAGCATATTTCTTCTTAAAATGTTGATGCACTCTGGTCGAAGTCGAATTTTTGTTTCTGGTCTCATTAATAATTTGTTACTCATTTGGCAGAATGATAGGATGTTCGTTCAGTTACGATGTGTAAATTCATGTTTTTCTAATGTTCGAAAGAGAATGAAGATCGAATTTCAGGTATTCCGCAAGGAGAATTTTTGTATTTTTCAGCACAATTATAATAAAAGAATGGTAAGAAGACTAGTCCTATGGATTAATTTCATGCAACTTTAACTTTAAAATAAGAAGAAATATGATAATTGGAGGCGGATATAAGGAAAGATTCAGAGGTGACAGCAGGCATGTCGTCAATCTTCTTCGTTATCCAGTTCAGTAATTCTGCCTCATTGAAATTGTTGAAAAGAAAGGTTCCCTCTTTAGAATATGACACCCCTCTTTCTCCGCCATATAGTAGCGGGTCATCTTTTGCTCATCTTTAATAACTCATCCTTCTTCCGTTCCATATTACTGCCAAAAGGGTGAAAAAAGGAAACAGAGAAGAGGTCGTCTTGACGACTTAGATTACACTCAATTAGATGGATATACCACTCATTCCTAAAATTGCGAAACACTTTGAAAATTTTCGAAAAAATTGAAAAAATAGAAGGTGAAGATACGAGGTAAACATGAATACGGGAAGACGGGGACGGGACAGAGGTAGGAACGGGAGAGGATCGTGACGAAGCGGGCATAATGATGGGAAGTGATAATGAGTGTTGTACTTTTTCTATAACTTTTAAATACGTAAGTATTAGGTAATCGTTTTAAGATATGCTATAAACCACTTGCCTCATTGCCTCAACCAACCAACGTCTCAGAAAATCCATATGTTTGCAGATGATTTTGTCCTACTTTACGGAGCATTACTACCAAATGACCCATTGAACAATTAACACCAAAGTAATCTCATCCCCCAACTACCATTTAATTTTACACATTTGACCTAATATTCAGATTCTGCTTGTTCCAAATTTAAATCACTTTATTTCTTAACTGGAAAAGCTCCAATCTAGTCTTCCTATCCAGCTCATTGTTTCATTATTGTAGCTACTTTTTTTCGGCATAATTAATTAAAATTGTCATCTATCTTTGAATATGGTCGTAATTAAATAATTTAACACAACCAACAATTACAAGATATTAAGTTATTTAATGAAGTTTTTATTCATTGCTTACTTATTGCACAATATTCCTATAATTAAGTGAAAATACATCAAGTGAACCATAGGTTGATAAGTTATAATATTAATAATTAGTAAGTGTATTGTCCTTGAGGAAGAAAGTTGACACATCCTACTTTAGAATATTATTAAGTAATGTATTTATTAGTAAAACTTGGCACATTTATTTTATATTTCCGATAATAAGGAGAAGGGAAGTATGCAAGCTTCCTTTGTTGATGAATTAATTAAGCGTTTAAAATCAACAAACTTTTTAAGCCGCGAAAGAATTTTGTCGAAATACTCTTACTTTATACTTTCACTTATTTCATCTAAGCTAAACTATAATATTAAAATCAAATCAAGGTACGAAGTTAAAGATTGATAATAGCATTTAAGCTTAGGAATAAGTTTCATAATTCTTATCGTAAACAGTTTAAACATCCAAAACTTCGCAAAAAAGAAAAAGAACACATTATCATCATCATCATCATCATCATCATCATCATCATTATCATCATCATCAGCAGCATCATCATCATCATCATCATCATCACCATCACCATCATTACCATCTATCATCATCATCGTCCTGTTTTATCCTTTTGTAATTCCACATGATTCCAAGATGCTATAAAATGTTTAGAAAAGAATTGGAAAGGATTGAAATATTTACCCGTTCGAGATCTCTCACACAACTTTATTGAAACGCCGAAGTGAAAAGTATGTAATAAATTTCAGAAAAATCAATAGGAAAGCAAATTTTTTTAACTTTGTAAAACTTTTTCAAGTATTTGGTGACGGAACACATGTCACTGTCAACCTTTAAAGGTAAGCAGTGTGCTTACATCATAAAACCGGTATTGCTTACACGTTGAATCATTTCATTTCTAGTAAGAATGCTGGTCATACGCAGTGAAACCA